CCTGAGGCTGTATAGAGAGAAGAGGCTCATATGACCTCCAGGTCTCCCAGCTCTGATCTTCTGGAACTTCTACTGCCTTTTAAAATTCCTACAACAATGGAAAACATAATGCTATTATCAAGGTGTATTATAAAAATGTGTGGTCTTGGCCTGCTTTAGAAAACATATGTCTTGACTGAGATACCTGTCATAAATTGAATGAACATTCAAGATTTCCATTGTGATGTTTTTATTACACTAATGAAAGAGTAAGTGGAGTTAATGCCAATTATCTTTTACCTTAATAATTTTTAAGTGAAACAAAAATAGTCATAATGTAAACCTGTGTCAAAAATGTACATGTTACGTATCTTATATCTCAGTTAAGACAATAGGTTTAAAAATTGTAATTCAGTAGCTGGGGATTTAGCTCAGCGGCATAAGCGCTTGCCATGCAATCAGGCAGTCATGAGTTTGATCCCTGGTAGCAATAAAAAGAAAAAAGACAAAAAAATTGCTAGGATTATAACAATTCCTAGAGATGGACTAAAAATTTTAATTCAATCTAACGCTCATATTTTACTAATGGAAGTAACTAATTTATTTTTAATGTCTTATTGGTGGTGTATTACATCAATTAGAATCTTAAAAGGGGATGATTAGCATTTATTTTATTTAAGCTTACAAATATTTCCCTGTGATTGTAGTTATAACTGAATTATAAGGTTCTTCATAAGCAAACAAAATTGTGTTGTATATTATTTCTCTTGAAATTCTGTATTACGTGTAGCCTTTTACTGTCTTGCTTTTTCTTGTTTTGTTTTTCTCTTTAAATAAAAAAAATACAGTGAGAAAATATTCCCAATTTAGATAAGACTTTAAAGCAATGAAAACATATAAATGAGGAAATGGAGAGCCTTAGTATGTAATTTGTTCATTTTTATGCATGTGGAAAATGTAAATAATACTGATATTTTATATTGATTTTCAATTATGCAACTCTATGTCCACGTCCCACAGAGATGTCTTCATTATCAGGGAGAATGAATTTTCTTGGAATAAGAATAAAGCTAGCACACATTTTTATTCACACATAAATACACTAGAAAGCAAAATGATTTAATTTGGGGATTATAATCATTTCACAATTTATGTGTACATCAAATCACCCTTATGTACATACTAAATATAGAAAGCATTTCAGTTATACCACATAACTCTAAAAGAAAACATGAGTAGGTAAACCCAGGGAAACCGGAACGTAGACTACTATTATCTTAGGTGAAAGCAGGCTTTGACTTCTCTTACACAGGAACTGGTGGTGTCAGTGATTGAAGGGATCTTGGAGGTTGTCTAGTGCCACCCATTATTAGGGCATTTATCTGATGACCTGGGACTGAGAGCGTGGTTGAAAGTTCCCCAACTTTTCAATTATGAGAGACACAGGATTGCAATTTTCTTGCTTGTCTTCTTTTTTTTTAGGGCTGTGTCCACCAAATAACTGAATTGTGTACACTTAAACTCTCACTTACTCCTGTGTAACAGGACAGGAGCATAAAGGTAGGAGATAAATTTATCACAGTGTGATAAATACTTTAACACTAGAATATTTGTTTCTTTTAAGAAGAGGTAAACATAGTACATTTTGATTTTAAAATTTAGGAACATAGAAAGAAAGAAAATTGATGATGTACGTGAAAAATGGAATAAGAAGACAACGATAGATGAAGTCAGGTTCCTGCTTTTGCATTCATCTGGAGATGATTACCAACCAACTGGTCAGAAAATTGAAGACAAAAGGAAATTGTGTGGCTTTATGGCAGTTGTCTAACTTTGGTGCGTATATATGTGTGTGTGTGTGTATATATATAGTGACTCTTATTACCAAGTTAATTTTGCTTATTTGTTATTGTCTTTCTCCTAAAAGACGGTAGACCATCTCTCAGTCTGTTTGAACATGACTAGCATGTAGATTTTTACACTGCCTTTAACAAACACCCACAAGAGATAAGTAAAACAGATTGTGCAGGCATGGTTACCCTTAACACCACAAATTAGTAGTAGTAGTAGTAATAAAAGTTCCAAGTGATTGTAAAACTCATGGATAATAAGAGACACATTGAATTTTAATTCATGTTTCTTTGTGTAAACTTTAGCTCATCTCATCTAGCCTGGCTTTGGGTGGTCTTAAGTCAAGATGTCTATATAGGCACAAAATTCAAATTAACATTTAATTTTTTCATGCACAAAGAGCTATGTTGCTCACCCTTTGCTGGTTGGATTATATTACTAATCTGTAACTCTATAAGAACTAGAAACATAGCATGGTGCGGTGTTGCAAGCCTGTAATCTCAGCACTCAGGAGGCTTAGACAGGAGGATTGCTGTGATTCCAAAGCCAGCTTGGATTATAAAATGAGTTTAAGGCCAACCACACCCTTATAGTGAAACCCTGCCTCAAAATATCAACAACAACAACTAGACACGTCAGAACGATGGCTAAATGAAGCATCTCCAATCAGGCAGTTGAAATGTAGTTAAATTCTAGAGCCCCAATAAGTGATAGATATTTTAATTTCCTAAAAAATGTTAGAGAAAACAGGAATAACATGGCATAATATAAAGTAATGCCTACATATTTGATTGAAATTGTATAGAAAAGCAATTCTAATATTTTATAATTATTTCAGGGGTAGAAATATAATTATTCAAAGAAATTTCATTTTTATTCATTGTTAAGTAAAAGATTTTCTTTGAACTTGAAAATGAGAAGAGCAATGAAGAACTAGTGTGTCATGTGGTAATTTGTCTCAGTAAGTCTAAAAGTTGATCAGGTTTGAGGTCCTGTGTGACTGGGGAAATGCTGTTGATCAGAACTATGCTCAATAAAAGTGGGAGAGTCTGAGTTCTTTCTCTTCTCTTTCCAATATCCTTCTGGATGTCGATTACTTCTAGAGCTCTTATGTTTTAAGATTATCAAAAATCACGGAGCCAGGCATGATGCTGCGTGACTGTAATCCCAGAACTATGGATGGTAGAGGCAAGAGGATTGCAAGTTTGAGCCTAAGCTGGACAATTCAGCAACTTCGAGAGACCTGACTTCACAACAAAAAATAAAAGCTCTAAGGATGTTCATCTGTGTGAGTTCAAACTCACACTGCTAAGTAAAATAAATCAGGCAAGAAGGTAAGGATTGCAGGGTTTCTCTAATATGTGGAACACAAAATATAAATTAGTTACGCAAAAAGAAATGGCAGGCAACAAGAGTGTGGAATCTATGGAGATAAAAGAGAGTTCTTAGGAAAAAGGAGAGGAGTGTTCAGGGAAAGGAGAAGAAAAATGAACATGACCTGTGCCTCTTCCACAGGGTGGGTGTAAATATTATGTGTTAAAGACATACTCTAGTAAACATGTTTTTAAAATACCCAGTACTGCAAAAAAGTCCCAGTCTCCAAGCTCACTTTTCCAGGTATGCTACTGACTCTATACAAATTTCAAAGTATCTTGTTTAGAATACATCTTTTTGCATATCCTTTAACGGTAGCCTAAACTGATATGAATCTTGAGAAAAAAAAGAATAAAACGGAAATAAAGGTTTTGTAAGTAAGAGGAGAAAGGGGATTGGTGGGCAGCAGAATGGGAATAAAGGAAGAATCAAGATATATCATGTACAGGCAAGAATTCCCCATGCTGAGTGTGATACTGATGTATATCTAAATTGTACCAATAGTGAATTAATCTAAAAATCAACCTTTTAGACCATGTCCTGTTGTCTGTGAAAAAAATCAAGGTGAATCTAATAATATGCCAATTTTATATAAAAAAATTGACCCAGTGCTTGTTTTAAAAGTAAAAAAAAGGGGGACTCAGAGCAAATGTAAATCTAAACTGTGAAAATCAACATAAATTTGTGTGGTTCCAGGACAAGACTCATATAGTAGTTGTAATTTCTAATCAAGATGCCTTTGGCTTTTTAATTTTTTTACATTTTAACAATGGATGCATCAACATCATGCATCTTTTAAGTAAGTTCTTTCCTTGATTAATGTTTCCTGGATTAATGTTTATATTCTACTGCAATCATAAACTGAGAAATAGATTTTAGCATAGTAATTGGATTTCTGGAAAGAGAAATGAAATAATGGCAGATGCAGCCAGTGACATGTATGATTTATTTATTTATTTATTTTATTTTTGGTACTTGGGATAGAATTCATGATGTCATGCTTGCCAGGGAGTTGCTTATGTCACTGAGTTAAATCCTCGGACCTCATTTTGTATTAAAAAAAAAAGGAATTTTGTTTGAGGTTTTTAATACTGGGAAATATCAGTGTACAAAATAAAATATTTCTCCAGAATGAAAAGAATACTAAGGACATGTTACAGTATAAAGGAGCATTTTACTGATTGTTCATCCATTTTGTTCATGTTTGTATAAAGACTATGAATACCACCTATCTAGCATCAGAGATAAAAACTCATCTTTTGTGTTTTAAGCTAGCTCTATCTCTTTCACTCTATCTCTTTCCTCATATTGGCTCACATTTGAATCTTCTAAATTAGCTTTCCCTGTGTTTTAAATGCTTTTATAAGAATATATTGGCTTGGTGTGCTTTCCAAGTATTATAATTTTCATATCATATGCAAACATTGAATGCCCAGTCTGCACTACTTATAGTTCAAAACCCTAGAACAGTTTTGATTACTCCACAGAACAACTGCATTTTAAAGAAACACGGTGAGAGAGTAAGAGGAGGAGGAAAAAAATAGTGACACTGAGAGCAATTATGCTAAAGATTCTGATAATGATGTTTTCTCTTTTGTATATATTTCTGGAAATTACCTGATTATAAAAAGTACAATACTTAGGATAGTAATGACCATACCTCACTTCTGTAGAATATATGATTGTCTCAATTGTTTGCCTCCAAATTTGTGACGTTTTGCTATCTCCTCACTGTACAGAAGAATTAACAAGACTAAAAGCATATAACATCTTCCAGGTTTAAGTATTACTTTCAACTATTTGTTATTGGCATCCCAGAAAATTTTCCTGCTCCACATTTTCTTCATTGCATTCTTCATTTCTGCATTCCTCAAGGTATAAATCAGAGGGTTTAACATGGGAGTGACGATGGTGTAAAATATGACCACCATCTTATCCTCAGCAAAAGTAGTGTCAGGCCTCATGTACATAAAAGTACAGGGACCAAAAAAAATGATGACCACCGCAATGTGGGAACCACAGGTGGAGAGCGCTTTTCGTCTGCCTTCTGCTGACTGCTTCCGCAGAGACACCAGGATGATGGTGTAGGATATGAGCAAGATAACAAAACTCACCAAGGTGATGGTACCACTGTTGGCTGTCACAACAACACCAACAGCATAGGTATCTGAGCAGGCCAGCTTCAGTATAGGGTGAATATCACAAAAGTAGTGATCAATCTCATTGGATCCACAGAAGGGCAGTTGAACTACGAGAGCCACTTGGATAATGGAGTGCAAAAATCCACCCACCCATGTCCCCAGCAGCATTTTACTACATCTCTCCCGGTCCATGATGGTCATATAGTGTAGGGGTTTGCAGATGGCCACATATTGATCATAGGCCATAACAGTGAGGATGAAGATCTCAGTGCATCCAATGAAATGTTCCCAAAAGAGCTGCAACATGCATCCAACATAAGAGATAGTTTTGCTGTTTGCTAAGAAGTCAATTATCATTTTGGGTGCTGTGACTGAAGAGTAACAAATGTCTACAAAAGACAAGAAGTTGAGAAAGAAATACATAGGAGTCTTAAACAGGTTTCCTTGGCAAACTGTCACCATGATAAGGAAGTTCCCCAGGAGGATGACTATATAGAAAAATAAAAATACCACAAAACAAACTCGCTCAATCTCTGGGTTCTGAGAAAGACCCCGGAAAATGAATTCAGTTATGTTGTTTAATTTTTTTGTGGAATGAGTCCATGAGGCCATGTTCACAAAGGACAATAAAAATCACCTGAAAGACAAATAGAAAATGGTGTTCTCATTGATTTCTAATTCAGGAACAAATAAATATTTGCAGTAGTTGTCATTAGAAAAATGAGGGCTTACTGTTCACTGGCATGCATACTTAAAAATTGACTATACACCTATTTTGACACTCTTACTTCAATATTATATCTATTTTTTTCACTTCAGGTAGGAAGTACAGAGAGATACAGAAAATTCTTGGAATCTCACATCTTATTAAAATATTTCCGCTTTTTTACTTTTTAAGGTTTACTCATCGTTTTTTTTTTAATTACTTCCTTTGCATTTTGTATAAGGCTTTCTGCTTAATTTTGCAATATTTTTCATTTGCAGCGATACAGTGATGCTTATCCACCCAGGAATGCCTGCCTTATCTCTGATGTAGAACAGGAAACATTTTCCCTTCTGAGTGCTGCCATTGCCAGGCAACACATTCACTCACAGGTCCTCAAGCAGTCGATGCTGGGGCATCTCTGTGTGTTCACTTCCTAGGAAACTCAGATCTTGTGCAACTGAATGTGCAACTATTCAACTGGTCACATTGCTATCAAAATGTGACACAAGGTAGCATAAAAAGACCAAATTTCCATAATCCTGGTTCAGAAATCATGATGCTTTGTGCAGTTCCTGTCATTTGAGAAAGGACAGAGTTTCAATTTTGCTATCATCTTGTTAATAGATATCTCTTTCATGAAAATTAATCACTTTTTAAAGTATAGAACAGACAACATCCTGATCTAGAATCACAAATTAGAAAAAATGGGGCAATGTTTTTAAGGAATGTATATGAAACCAGCCTTATTTGATTTAAGTGAAAGGAGTTGAAATTCGGCAATTTTTCCATCTATAAATTCAGATTTCTTTCAGATTTCTCAAAAATCAATTTGACTAGATAGTTCAAGATTTATTTGTTAATTGAAACAAAGAAAAAGTAAATAAAAAGATAAAAAACATTTTCCACTTTGATGCTAACATTTCTTCATTCATCCAAATGTTTCTAGTTTCTAGCTCTGTTAGTCCTTCAGTTTGGATGAATTCAGTATTTCAAGAGATATTGTTGCTAAATGATAATTAGAATGAGTTTAGGAAAGTTAAAATATTTTGTTTAAATGCATGAACCTTTAGTGGCATTTTAGGCTCTTTACTAGAATGTGTTAGGGAAAAGTGCATGTGGAATAGTTATGATTAAAAATATTTCAGTGTTCACAAGTGAGGCCAAATAGAAACAATCTTTCTGGTTGCAGGTCATGCACCTGAGAACACATTCCTACTGAGTTTATGGCTTGCTACCACTGAACACTGTGCTCTCAGCTAGCCCTTTCCAGCATCATTGTGCCAGGCACTTCTAGCTTTAGAGAAACTATCAAGCTGGGGTTTATCAGCTCTGTATATTGGAGCTGGTTCAGAAGTCTCTCCAGGTCTCCCTGATTTGTACATTATAGAATAATAGTAATAATAGTGGTAGCCATAGCAACAGCTAAAATGTAATTCAGATTCAGATTCAAGCACAGCCATCTGATTCTATGTGTTTTTCTTTTGATTTTGCTACTGACATAAAATGTATTTCTCCACCGAGAGAGCCCTTCAGCAGAAAGGAGCTCAAACCATAGAAGTTTTCAGCAATTATTAGGCAAATTTCTCGGTTTTCTTCTAAAACAGGAACATTTACACACAAACCTGGGAGTGATTCCTTTCCTCTCCAAAATATCAGAATCCAGTAAAAACTTTAAACTAAGACACAACTCAAAGCTCCCAACCTGCTTTTTTGAGCATTTCAGAATAATGGTATTTCAATACCTTTTGAAATATTTGGCTCTGTCTTATTTGGATTTATGCTACCTTATCTCACATACACATATAGAAACATTTCTTCAGGCTATAATTCTATTTGGACTTTCTTTAGAAAACAATATATAGTGATTTTATCACAGGCATACTAAATTTAGTAAAGAATTCCTCATTTTCTGCAAGCATTTTCTAGTAGTAATTTTCAAAGAAAACCAAATCTTACCAGTATCTTTCCAGGGCTTGAATTTGCTTTATCTTTTTCGTATCCTCTTTAGGTAATGAATTGATTGACATCTGTGAAGTTGCTTTGTGAATAATTTCTACATGGAAATCTTTGAACCCGGAGTTAAGGCTGGTAGAAACCAGGATTGTTTGTTCCTTAATTCTCTCAAATCCTGAATTATGCTGAATCACAATATGTTTATAATAAATGCTCTTTTTCTTTTCCAATTCTCATGTAGTATATTTAAAGAGCATGAAACAACTAGTTAATGACTTTGGGGAAATCTGTTCCCCAAAGTCTTCCTCCACAGTCAGCACCAAATCACAGACATAGCAATAAGCTTTAATTTTCAATTATTGCTCAATTAAAAAATGCACTACTAAACAAACACATACAGTGGAAACAATAAATTCCAAGATCGTAATTGTAACCTTAAACAAGTTAGCAAATGGACATAATCATTTAGAATCTCAAAATTTCTCTTGAGCATATTACATGTAGCTAATATTAGATAGTAAAGTGTCAATATTCATGTTACTGATTGAATTCAATTGTTCTCTTTTGAATTGCTGCAATAGGAAGGATTCAGTTATTCAAGTGGACCCCTGTGCTTTTCAGTCTAACTGTTGCTATGCCAATTTATGTGCAAAAAGATGGGACAAACTTCATTTCTGGACTAAATTTTTTATGATTTTACTTTTGCCATTTTAGTACCACATGTTTTCAGTACACACTAATTACATTCCTTGAATGCTTGGTGCATTGAAATAGAACCTTTTTAAACTGAGAATCACACTCATGACCTCTGGCTTGCCAGGAGTCATAGTGCCACTGTGCTATATCAATGGATGGGCTGGATTTTGGATAAGAAATTATCTTATCTTTAACTCTTTCTTTTCTTGACTGCGACTGAGTACAGTGATACCTTGATTTATGAATTCAATTTATTCCATGATTCTGGCAAAGAATACCTGGCTTCATGCTTACCACCTGATGCATCATCCATCTGATATACAGTTTGTAGGAGGAAGCAAAATTTTGCCAAACATTCTGTTCACCAGAAAAATTCTTCAAGAGCAGAAGGAATCATGAATGATGGCTTTACTATATATTCTTGACCATATACTTCCTTGTTTTTTTCATATTCTGTTCCTAATTTCTCTTTCCATTCACCCTTGCATTTTTAATGTTCCATTCAGAACTTTAAATCATTTTTTTTGCATACAACATTCAAAATATCAAACCCCTTGGTCACACTCCCTCTATCTATGGTTGTCAGAGGAAATGAGTCAAACATATAGAACCTGGATAGAAGGAGGAATATGCTCATGCCTCTGAAAGTTTTCAAGATGCTAAAATTCTTCTAATACTTTCCCACAGATGCTGCAAGAAATCACCACAAACTTAGTGGCTGAAATTATTCAAATTTAGTACCTTGCCATTGTAGAGGTCAAAAGAAATCTCATTAGGACAAAATCATATTAGAATTCACCGTTATTTGTAAAAATTTTCTAAGAAAACCTCCTTCCTGGATTCTTCCAGCTCCCTGATTCCTGTGTCCTTTCTTCCACCTTGAAAGTCAGCAGCGCAGTGTCATTTAGTCTCTGTCACTCTTACTTCCTCTTTTCCTCCTTCCAACTTTAAGACGACTTGGGAATGCAGTGGGCCAACCTGGATAAAGCAAGATAACATCTCTGATTTAATGCCAAAATTTTAGGAAACTCTATCTCATCTGCAACTTGAATCAAACTGTACCATGTAGCTAAACACATTAGTAGTTCCTATAGGCTAAATCATGAACACTTTTGAGGACTTCTACTCATTTATTATAAGTTAGTTGAGTGTTTGAAAACATCAATTCACCTATTTTCCACTGATTTTTCATATTCACTTTACTATCCAGGAGATATTTGAAAATTAGGTCTAAAACTGCTAAATATTATACATCTAAATTATAGAATATTAATTTTTAGACCTTATACATAAAAAGTGTATAAGGAAATAGTATCAGATGTAACATCTTGAATGGAAAAATACAGTTAAAATATGTGATAGTTGAGCTACAGTAAATTAATTAACAGCACTGTCAATTATATTAAATGCATAGAAAGCTGCAGAGATACAAACACATCACTCCATTAATTTCAGAAATGAGCAATCTGTAAGTCCAGTATCAAATAACAGAATATTTCAGCACATCAGACATATACATTGTGATCCCTCTTAGTCACTAGTTTCTTTTCCATTCAAAAAATTTACTTAGTTTTACATGTATATTATTTGGGTTGTGATAAAAATGCTGACTAAGTAAGCCTTACTAGTTTCTATGGCATACATATTTTTTGCATGAATTAAATGAAAGAGAATTACAAACAGGTGTAGTATTATATAAATATAGACAGTCTAAAAATTAATATAAAGTTAGGAAAGTACAATACACAGGAAAACCTCCATTCGTGTGCTTCTGCTCCTTTGAAAAATAAGAAGAAATTTTAGAAAGCCAAAATTTATATGATATACTTAACCATTTTATGTTTTAAAATGTCCTTAAATTGTCATGTACTAGGGTCTTGGCTACAAGCTGATAGGATTGTGGAAAGTGATTCAGCCATGAGGATTATAACCTCATCAGTAGATTAATTACATGATAGTACTATTGAGATGTGTTGGAAATTTAGGATATGGAGCTTTCTTGAAAACTTTGCATTATGGAGGCACAACCTTGGTAACTTTATCTTGTGCCTAAACTTACCTTCATTAAATTTTGCTCTGTCTGCATCAACTCATCATTCTAAAGGTAATTTTTCTCTTATTTATAAAAAAATAGTATTCTACTGTGTAGGAATCCCACATTTCTGTGGTCATTCACCAGTTACTGGATATGTTAGTGATTTCCAGCTTATGGTTGTAAAGAACAATTACTTTATGACACTTATTATGGTTTTTCACA